GTTAATGGCATTTACTGTCCACACATGAAAAGTTGTGCCGAGCAGCAACCAAATCCACAGAAGGGTTAATGCTGAGCAGCAATTATGCAAATGGAAACCTGGGAACCACCTTTGGGGTCAAAGGCCGGGTTACAGCCTATCAGATCTAGAGGAAGGGTATTAAGACCCAGTTCTCATCCTGCTCAGTGCCCTGTTGTGGTTTCCCTTGTGGTTGTCCGAGAGCGCGTTATTGATTCTGGTAATTCTGGTTATTTGACTTTGGCATTGTTTTTGACTTCCCTGTTTTCTGGCATCCCTGACTCCTGGCTTTTCCTTATCGTTGTGTCTCTTTCTGTTTCCCTTGACCTCGGCTATTCCTGACTATTCTTTGGTACGTTAGTCCGGCCATTCCAAGGTCTGGTATACGTTACTATCAGTCCTCTGTTTTACACAATTCTACGTGCTGGATCATTCTGTAAGCCTGACACTGAGTCCATTTGCATGCTTATACTTTTCATAGGTCCGATATTGTTCTATGTACACTCATTGTTATATTGATTGCATGTAATATTCTAATTTACTGAGATTGTGGATTTGGGGTTTTCATGAGCTGTAAGCCATAATCATCGCACTTATGACAAATCACGGCTTGAACTATCTTGCTTTGCATGTAATGCGTCTATCTCATATATTAGTTTCCCCATTTATGTTGCATTACTGAAATAAATTTACTTTTGCACGATATTCTAATTTCTAAAAGTATCACCTGTGTACACTGATCAGCCACAACATTAATACTACCTGCCTAATATCGTGTAGCCACTTGTGTTGCCAAAACAGCTGTGATGCCTCAAGACATGGACTCCCCAAGAACTCTGAATGTGCCCTGTGGTATCTGGCAACAAGACAGCAGCAGATCCTTTAGGTCCGCAAGTTGTGAGGTGGGGCCTTCATGGATCAGATTTGTTGTTTCAGCACATCCCACAAGTTCCAGCACATGCCACAGATTTTCAATCAAATTGAGATCTGAATAATTTTGAGACTAAAACAAAACCTTTGTCATGTTTCTCAAACCAACCTTGAACATTTTTTGCAATGTGGCATTATTTGTGCGTTATCCTGCTGAAAGAGGCCACTGTCATCAGGGCCCAGGGCATAACACTGCCTTTGCTGGCATGACTTCTTCCCAAAGTCCATGTTGCTGCCATCTCTTCCCTAGGTAAACAACACACACGCATGTGACCATCCACCTCATCTAAAAGAAAACGTTATTCATCAGAACAGGGAACCTTCTTCAAATGCTTCATGATCCAATTCTTACTCTCACATCCTTTTTGAAGATGCTTTCAATGATATATGGGCACTCTGACTGGTCTGTGGCTACACAGCCCCATACACAGAAAACTGCAATGCACTGTGTGTTCTGACATCTTTCTATGATGGCCAGCAATAAGGTATTCAGCAATTTGAGCTACACACCTTCTGTGTGATCGGACCAAACAGCTAGCATTCGCTTCCCACATGCATCAATGAGCCTTGGGCACTAATGACCCTGACACGTGTTCACTGGTTATCCTTCCTTGCACGACTTTTGGTAGGTACTAACCACTTGCCGTTTTGGGGTTGCTCTGACCCAGTAGTCTAACCATCACTATTTGGCCCCTGTCAAAGTTACTCAGATCTTTTCGCTTGTCCATTTTTCCTGCTTCCAAGACCTGAAATTCAAGAACTGACTGTTGCCTAATATATCCCACCCTGTGACAGGTGCCATTGTAACAAAATAATCAATGTTATTCTATTCACCTGTCAGTGATTTTAATGTTGTGGCTGATCGGTATATATAAATATATGCACAATAAATAAATAAAATAAATTAGTGCTATAAAGGCTTTTTTGGTGTCCTGTGAGATTCTTATCTTAACTCACACAAGAGTCTGCTGGCAGGGTGATTGTAAGGGAGCTCCCTGTACGCCTGGCTGGGTACCTCCGCCAAGAACCGCTTCCTAGCTGGAACAGGGGACAAACTGCAGAACTTCTGCCCACAATCGCCGTAGCTTGACTGGGGTCCTGGAACCGCTCCCTCCTGGAGCCGAATCGGGAACTCGCTCGATCCACCCCCAGGCACCGGACGACACTCCTGGGAGCTCTAGTCCTTACAAGGACTTTCCCCGTAGAATCCTCCACACTAAAAAAGTGTTTAGTGATAAGCCCTTTCCACTCCCAGTAACCAGACGACACATAGTTCTGGGAGTACAAGCTGGAATCCTTTAATCTGGCCAGATGGCCTACTTTTATACAATTTAGACACAGTTAAACATGCCTATAACACTCCCACACAAAACAGGATAATCCCTCCACCTGGACCTGAGAGGACACTAGTTACAAGCAAACATCTAACTAATCCTCCCCTGTGTCTGAGAGATAATTAGCTGAGCACACAAACATATAATTACATTATCTCTCAGTACAGAAAAAGGCAATATAACAAAACCCGAAAAATACCCCTAAAACACATAAAAAACCCACAGAAGTTACATACCCTGATAGCCCTGATCTGGGTGACCAACATATCCAAAAATCACCCAGGAAGTCATAATTTTGACCGACCGTGCACATGGTCCTATGCCCATAACAGCTCCATGAAATCAGTGCTAACGGTCAACTACGAACAGCTACCGAACGGAATCCATAGTTCTACCCTGGAGCTTGTTCACCTTGTTCGTGGGAACGTTTCCACCGAACAGTGCCCTTCTAAGTTGTATAGAACCAGAACGCAGGCGATGATGGAAGCGGTGTTCGGGAGTTACCGTGTCCAATTTTAACTCCAGGAGATTGATGCCCAAACAACGCTCCCTGCGTTCGCGGGAACAAGATGGCCGCCACCTTGGGGTCATTCATACGAAATGCGGCCCAGACGAACAATTAGAACACTGCGGTGGAACTAGTAACAAGGTATCAATTGAGCCTAACAAGCTCCCGGGTGGTCTCTGGTTCGTGCAGTTGTTCGGTTCCTGAATAACATAATCCCAAATCACACAAACAGAGTAGTTTGCAGGGTATTTGGTATAGCCCATAATCCTGGGGCAGGAGGCTGACTAGCAGGCTCCTCCAGGAGCTTTTGGCAAACGACCAGACCACAGGGCATTTGTCACAGCAATGCTTTATGCTGGCTGGCAGTTAGCAGAACTGTGAATGATTACGAGTTCTGAGTTGGGGACAAGAAGCACTTCACCTCCCCTCTCCCCTGTAGGGCCTAAAGTTAAACATTGGTAATAACACTGAGCGTAAGACCAGGAGAATTTGATCCATCTTTTCAGGAAGTGTAAAAGGAGTGATTGACAGCCAGGGGAGTTGTGGCTGCAGAAATAATGTTGTTTATCTCTTAAACAGAAGATAATTGAGCTGTGAACTCCTATACAACAAAATCACTTCACTCAGCCATAGCAGTTTTGGTACTTGGACTGACCTAAAACTAGGTGACAAGATAAAACTGTATACTTTGATGTAATGGCTTAAGAGAAAAGCATGTTATTGCTTCCTGAGAAGGTAACATTAGCTTTTTATCTGATCTTGCATAAGAAGCAAATTGAATGATTAAATAAATGAGTGAGATTAATTATTTGTTTAGAATGTGTAGTCAACATCTCATGTAGTCAACCACACAATGTAACATCTGGTAGAGTTCTATGGATTTAGAATAACAATATTTAGAAATAACAGTGTATGTCTGTCTTCAACAAAGGAACAATTCTTGTACATTTTGATTTGTCGACACGTCATTTAACTATGCATGCAAACGGTGTAACACAATCTGTAATGTAGTAATAACGGATTATCCCGCTTGTTTGTCTGCAGTTCGCCAGTACGCTGACATCTGCCTCTTCAACACAGCTCAGTACAAGTGTCCAGTGGCAGTGGAAGAAGCAGAGTAAGTACTCCACATCCCCAGATAATCAGATACTGTCTATGTTTGATTACAACCAGGGGCGGACTGAGAGCCTTTGGGGACCCCGGGCAAAATTAGATCCCAGGCCATTTGAAGGCCAAATATACGTGCATTAAATAAATGTTAAAGGATCACTATAGTATCAGGAAAACAAAGTAGTTTTCCTGACACTATAGTGCCCTAAGGGTGCCCCCAGCCTCAGGGTCCCCCTCCCATGGGACTGAAGGGGTTAAAACCCCTTCATCAGCTTACCTTTATCCAGCACCGGGCTCCCTCGGCGCTGGTGACCTCTCCTCCTCAGCCGACGTCAGCTCCTGAGTGGAGCAGAATGCGCATGCACGGCAAGTGCCACGCACGCATTCAAACAGTCCATAGGAAAGCATTTCTCAATGATTTCCTATAGACGTTCTGCACGTTGGATGAGAATTTCGCATCCAGCGTCAAAGATGCGCCTCTAGCGGCTGTCCACAAGACAGCCACTAGAGGTTGGATTAACCCTGCCAAGTAAACATAGCAGTTTCTGCTATGTTTACATCTGAAGGGTTAAAACCTGAGGGACCTGGCACCCAGACCACTTCATTGAGCTGAAGTGGTCTGGGTGATTATAGTGTCCGTTTAAATATAACTCTCATATAATACGGCATTCCTTTGGATGTGTATATTGTGAAGACCTGTGTATCAATGCATGTTTGTATTTGAGTCCGTGTGAATGAACTTGTGCATGTCTGGATGACTACATGTGCTTTTTTGTATATAGGGTCAGTGTGAATGCATATGTGACAGGTGGAAGAGTGTGGGAGGTGGTGACAGGTGGCAGAGTGAGGGAGGGGGTGAGTGGTGGCAGAGTGAGGGGCAGACACAGTGAGGGGGGGTGACTGGTGGCAGAGTGAGGGTGACATTGGGAGTGGGGGTTGACTAGTGACAGAGGGAGGGAGGGGAGGAAGTGACTAGTGGCAGAGGGAGGGAAGACGTGACTAGTGGCAGAGTGAGGGAAGGCGTGACTAGTGGCAGAGTGAAGGAGGGAAGGGATGACTGGTGACAGAGTGAGGGGGTGACTAGTGACAGAGTGAGGTAGGGAGGGGGTGACTAGCGACAGAATGAGGGGGTGACTAGTGACAGAGGGAGGGGGTGACTAGTGACAGAGTGAGGGAGGGGGTGACTGTCACTAGTCACCCCCTCCCTCACTCTGTCACTAGTCACCCCTTCCCTCCCTCTGTCACAAGTCACCCCTTCCCTCCCTCTATCACTAGTCGCCACCTCCCTCTGTCACTAGTCGCAACCTCCCTCACTCTGTCATTAGTCACCCCCTCCCTCACTCTGTCACTAGAATGAGGGGGTGACTAGTGACAGAGTGAGGGAGGGAAGGGGGGGTGACACAGTGACAGAGGGAGAGAGGGGTTGACTAGTGACAGAGGGAGGGGGGTGACACAGTGACAGAGGGAGAGAGGGGTTGACTAGTGACAGAGGGAGGGGGTGACACAGTGACAGAGGGAGAGAGGGGTTGACTAGTGACAGAGGGAGGGGGGTGACACAGTGACAGAGGGAGAGAGGGGTTGACTAGTGACAGAGGGAGGGGGTGACACAGTGACAGAGGGGGAGAGGGGTTGACTAGTGACGGAGGGAATGGGTGACTAGTGACAGAGGGGCGGAGCGGGGTGACACAGTGACAGAGGGAGGGAGGGGGTGACAGTGACAGAGTGAGTGGTCGGGGATGACTAGTGCCTACCTGTCTCTCTTCTCCCTCTGGTCTCACTGGCTGCTGCTCCTTCCCCTCACTGATTGGGCTCTGTGTGAGAGGAGTAAACAGGAAGTGATGTCACTTCCTGACCCAGCCTCTACCCAGCACACAGAGCCGTGTGGGACAGGAAGCAGGAGACCTGGCAGAGAGGCGGTGAAGCTCCTCATTAAGAGGGAGGGAGGAGGAGGTTTTACTATGCTGAGCGGTAGGTTGCTGGGGCCCTGCACTCCATCAGGGGCCCCAGCAACCTATTAATGAAAGAGATTTTTTGTTAATTTTGCCGTTCCAGTTGATCTCTGATCTCTCCAGCTGGAGCATGGCTGTGCGGTCGGGCCCCTGGCTGTCTCAGGCCCTCGGTCCATGACCGATATGCCCGAGTGGTCAGTCCGCCCCTGATTACAACCTTCATTCTCAAGAAGAGGATCACACAGGATCTGGCTCATAGGACAGACTGTTTTACAGTTTCTGTAACAAAAGTCAGATGGTTCTAGGGAAGTTGTAATTATTTGGTGCAAATACTTCTTCCTTCCACCCGGTATGAACCTCCAGCATCCAGGACTGTGCGGGGAAGACCCCTCCTCCAAGGAGAGCGTGTCAGGAACAAGCTCTTAAGAGAGCTAAGTGATTTAAGTTCAGGGGAGCATGCAAAGCATAGCAATCCCCAGTGTGATTATAACAACTCCCTCCAATAACAAGACAAGGCTACATTTAGAGGGATCAAGAAGAACTGTCTAAACCTTTATTTTACTTGGTACTAGCCCATATGGTCATCACATTAACACTGCTGTGAAAACTCAATAAAATCACAAACAGTCAAACCATATCAGGCAACACACAGTGACTTATCACAACACAATGGCACATTTCCAAATAGGTGGGGGAGACAATAACTAACAGAAAATATCTCACGTGTCTGCAGAATTAGCAATATGCAAATCTACCCGAATATGCAAATGAACCAGTCTTGCTATTCAGGTAGTGCATATTGCTGTTGCTACCAACAGAGGGCACTAGACCAGCTCCATACCCAAATCCACCTAGTTGGTAGCAAACCTCAGCAGTACAGGAGAGCAGGCAATACATTACACAGTACACACACACACACTATAAACAATTACATTACACACACCCTGCACCTATAATGGGTACAGGGTGACTTAAACATAAGAGAAATAAAGCAGCCTACATAAATAGTCTATCAGAAGGTAGAATAGGGGCTTTAAAGCCAAATACATCAAAGAGTCATAGTCACAGGGGAGGAGGCTGGCAAGCAGGCCTCTCCAGGACCAAGTGGCGAAGGGCACTTCATTACAGCTACCATTTATTTTCTTGAACAAGTTTAAATTGTATGATTTGATAAATTGGGGTAATAATTTGATTGATTGGTGGTACACAAAAACACTTACATTGTATCAATTATTTCACTCTACCATTAATACCCGACATCCTGAAAATAGTTCAGTTATTTCATTATACTCCCTGTATCCAGCTCATCCAGAATGGATTCATTTTACCAATTATTTCATTAGATTTTCATAAACCATTCATTAACTGTGTCATTTCATTTTCCCCAGCCTAGATAGGCCTGCTGAAATGATTTATCCTATTTTTTATCTTCTGATCTGTCTACAGTCTTTGAAATGGTTTAATCGGTCACCATCCTTATATTATTTAATAACCTAGATATTCTTCCATTTTGCGCAGGCATGGACCAAATAACTTGTTGGGTAACAGGTTCAGCAAAGGCAAAATGATGTCAAATAAGAACCAGTAAAAAACAGAAGCCAGATAATGATGTCCATTGACAGAAATATTGTCCCTTTGTTAGTTGAGGAAAAGTGCAATAAATTTAAATTGTGGAATCACACAAAGGTCATTAACTGTGTTACTGGGGGTGTCAGCCATTGATAAGCTATGCTTTTATAGAGAGGATTCAGTTTCCAGGCCCCTACACCTGTCTCCATCTTTACCCATTAGATCAGGGCTGTCCAACCTGCGGCCCCCCAGATGATGCTGAACTACAACTCCCATGATTCCCTGGCTATCTGTTTAATTGAAAGAATCATGGGAGTTGTAGTTTGGCAACATCTTGGGGGCCGCATCCTGGACAGGCCTGCATTAGATTAACTTATATCATTGCTTACTGCTGTTGGTGCAGTTTATAAGAAGTGTTATGTGGAGTGAGCAATGTGCCAGATATTTTAAAAACAGATTATATTTTTGTTGATTCACAAATAACGTATGTATGAAACATACTGCATGGCAGTAGTTGAGCCTGTTTATACACAGCTCCCTAGGCAAATAATTTCTGAGTTTCAAAGATTTGTGTTGCTAAGTTTAATTAATTTAACTTTCCTGTTCCTTTTTTTTCTTCTAGTAATGATGTAGTTGCTCCAAGTTCGACATTTTGCAAGGTTTACACACTGACTCCATTTCTTGCCAACAACCGAGAAAAGAGAGGCCTGGCCTTGGATGGAAAACTGAAACATGAGGACACAAACCTGGCTTCCAGTACACTGTGAGGGTGACCACCGCACATCTTGTGTTTGTTACAAACCTATTTTGCAATTGCACATTCATTTATATTTATATTTTATATGGTGGGCACCTCATTGACAAGTGTGTGAAGGCTGTGATTTATAGCTGCTGTTACCAAGTACCTACTGACTGGAGGCTCAAACTTTTAGTCATGCCATTTCCTGTCATTGTCTGTTCAATCACTTAAATTTAGAAAATAGTGTGCATTAAAACAGATAGAAATGTATCGAGTTTATGTTTCTTTTTGTGTTAGCTTCTTTTCACTTAGAAAAGCAATATAACATCTTATTTTGTCAGATTTGATTCCCAAGTTGATTGATTGGATTAAAGGGACACTGTATGCCCCCAGACCACTTCAGCTCATTGAAGTGGTCTGGGTGCTGTGTCCCTTTTGCACCTAGTGCTGCAATGTAAAACATTGCAGTTCCAGTGAACTGCAATGTTTACATTGCAGCTCTAAGTATGTCGAAGACAGCCACTGGGGGCGCTTCCAGAATCCAAACGGACTTTTGGTCCGTTATCTGATGCTGGAATTCCTTACGGACCCTACAGCATCAGATTTTCCCCATATGAAAGCACTGAATAATGCTTTCCAATGGGGAGGTCTAATGCGTGCGGCCATTGCCGCGCATGTGCATTAGGTCTCCCCCGCCGGCTGACGTCGGCGGGGGAGGAGCGTGGGTGGAGCCTGATCCAGCACCGAGGGACATCAGCTCTGGATTCAGGTAAGAAGCTGAATGGGTCTGTGGGAGGGGGGTTGCGAGGGAGGGGGGGACCTATTAAACCTATAGTACCAATTGCAGTGAACTGACAACTGGGATTAAAGTTGAGTTGAACAATCACTTGAAGAATTTCAGCTAATGGCTAATTTTAGCATTTGGTTTTCTCTTTACTAAAATTTACTGTTTAGTGAATAAAACCCCATATGTTTTAATGCCATAAATGTGAATATTCACAATGTCCAAATTTCAATATCATACCCATTGATTTAATACCTGCAAGACCCTTCCGGTGTAAGCAGTAAAGGCTAGCAGTGATATAGAAAGGGTAGTAGATACCTGGAATAGCCTTCCAGTGGGAGCAGTAACAGTGATATATAAAGAGTAGTAGATACCTGGAATAGCCTTCCAGTGGGAGCAGTAACAGTGATATATAAAGAGTAGTAGATACCTGGAATAGCCTTCCAGTGGGAGCAGTAACAGTGATATAGAAAGGGTAGTAGATACCTGGAATAGCCTTCCAGTTGGAGCAGTAACAGTGATATAGAAATGGCAGTAGATACCTGGAATAACCTTCCAGGTGTAGCAGTAAAGGCTAACAGAGATATAGAAATGGTAGTAAATACCTGGAATAGCCTTCAAGTGGAAGCAGTAAAGGCCAACAGTAATATAGAAAGGGTAGTAAATACCTGGAATAGCCTTCAAGTGGAAGCAGTAAAGGCCAACAGTGATATAGAAATGGTAGTAGATACCTGTAATAGCCCTCCAGCTGAAGAAGTAAAGGCTCACATCGTAAAGGAATGAAATGAGGTGCTTGGGGTGTTATGAAGAAAAGGGAAAATGAGTAAATAATTCTGAGATAATGGACCCATTCTATGTTTTTCTGTTTACCTGTAGTTTAAGAGATGGAGCAAACAAGGAAATTCTGGGGATCATCGTGTCATATAAAGTGAAAGTAAAGCTGGTGGTGTCTCGTGGGGGGTGAGTGATACATTATTTTCATACATTTTATTCAAATAAAACCTGATTTGCAACACTGGCTAATGGAAATGGTATATTGTACTGTGAAAATATATCTGTTTAATTATTCAAAAATTTACTACATTAAAATTAAATAACCATGCCTACCCCTCCCCTCTAATGAAGATCAGTAAAAGTAAAGAATTTATTAAACATCAGACGTCTTCTTTATTGTAACTCGGCCCGAGAAAAGGCCAAGTTAAAATTCATATTTTCTTCTTTTAATATTATAATATGGCCCCCACTTGCTGCCAATGGATGTGGGCTGGGGGAG